ACTACTGTACTGAATCTTTCATCAGTTAGTGTCATACCAGATACGGTAGCAATTATCAATCTAATAAACGATATTCAGAGTTCATCGAACAGGATTACAACAAATTCAATTATACAGTTACTTGCAAGTGAAAATCAAAACTTAGTTGGACAAGTATTGACGTCAGTTTCACAACAACTCAATCAGATGAATGACGAAAGTCTAGATCAAGCTGTTTTATGTAAATTTCTTCATAATTAAAATGAGATTTGCTTCTAATTCGTCTTTTCTTAGATGGTATTCCATTTACAAGTATATCCATTTCGTCGCTAGAAGCACAGCGTAGTGGACAACAGATCGTGTCCTTACCAGTAAATCAATCGGTTATAGATGAATTACAAGCTGAATTAAATTCTCGTGCACTTTCTCGAGAATATCTCATTGCATTCACATCAAAACTTCCTATGACAACGTCGAATAGTATAAAATTGCAAGCATCATCGTTAGTGCAGTTAACAAAATCAATCAATGAATTAACACGAACAACTCTAGTAAGATTTCGGTCATTCGAATTCTATTTTGTCATATGAAATCAAATCTTAGGCAATGGCATCGGATCGATGTTATCGATTAGGAATGGCTTTAGATTCAATGAGAACAAAAATATCTCTTGAAGATGTTCAAATAGCATCGACTGATCTTCTTCAATGTGCAACTAATCTTATGAGTGTAAGAAATAGGGAGATATTGAGCCCGCAATCCTCGGACTTGGTACATCCCAAATAGAAAATTTTTGTAAGATTGAATATATTTAGGCTGTCAATGGGCCATTACAGCAACGAACTACGGTTTTAAATGTCGATTCGTCACGTGCTTCATCACTTCCTGAAGATTATGACACTGATCTTGAATTAGACTGGGCGAATCCGAGTAAGATCTTATCGTTTTATGAAGATATTCTCATGTATGTTTAGATTTATTTGCTGACGGTGATGATTTTTCATGGGAAACAATACAAAAAAATCGAAATATTTACTATCAAAAACAATTAGCAAATCAAATCAATGTTCAAATGACCAAGTTAATCACATTCTTGACTTCATCATTATGTACTCATTT